AAACAGAAGCAAAAAAGATATGCACAGGCGGGGTTTGAACTCCAGAGCTCTTTTATTCTTTCTTTAGGTCGTCGTCTTTATTCGGTTTTTCCATGTTCCCGTTTCCTTTCTCTATTTATTGTTTTCTTAAATGTATGAATTTTTTTTCTATTTGCAGAATTTTTTTAGATTTATGAACTTTTTTCAAATTTGTTGGACTTTTTTCGTACTATAATTTTTTTTCAAATTTATTGAAATGTTCTCAAAATTGATGTTTTTTTTCAATTTTTGGAACGCCTCCAATTTCGTGAACTTTTTTTGAAAATCAATGATTTTTTTCAAATTTGCAAATTTTTTGTGACATTTGATTACTTTTTCAAAAACCGGTAAACATTCAATTTTGGTGAACTTATTTCAGAATTTATGAAGTATTTGTCCAAATTTATTAACTTTAGAAAAAATATTGTATGTTTTTTAATTCATGAAATATTTTTCAACCCGTAAAATTTTCGCTAATTCATAAGCGAGCGAGCAATCCTGTAGAAAAAAGGCTCGTGAACAAGCGAGTGGTACTTTTTCGTTTTTTAGGGAAGCGAGCGAGTTCTTGGGCCACGGCCCAGTAGGTACGGGCGTGAGCCCCCTCAAACGGCACTCAAACGTCCGGGTTGATCGGCACTCCTCATATCCAGCCCAAATATAGGATGAATATACGGACGCCGGGATACGTCTAGGCACGCCCGTCATGTCGGACCTGGCCCACGCTGGTCCATCTGACCCCACATATATTCCACGCCATCCGCTCGCCGGACCAAACCCTAGTCACTTCACTCCACTCCCCTCCGCCACCCAAACTCGTCACAGGCGCCTTCCGACGGTCTTCGGCAAGGCGGGCGGAGGATCCGAATCCTTCACCTCCAGATCCATCGACCCCGAGCTCTTCCAACGCGGCCTCGAGGAGGAGATGGTCGTCCGGCTTGCGCTCCGCCGCGCCCGTGAGGAGGCTCGTGCACGGCAGCACTCGGACTCCTTCTGTCTGGATCCAATTCGTCTGCACAGATGGCGCATGGATCCGGCGCTAGGCCAGCGGTAGCTACCTCGCCAGAGGCGCTGCGGTCCGTATGGCGTCTGAACGCACCGGCGGACGCGCAACCCCTCTGTTGGTGCGCCGAGCATCGGGACGCACCATGGGCCTCGTCCGACGAGAACATGGCACGACATGCCCGCCGTTCTTGACACCGAGTGCGGGAGGCGGCAGCAGCCCTCACGGCGGTGGACGTCGGCGAGGCAGAGTCGCATTCTCCGGCGCCCCGCATGGCACATCAGTTCGGGCGCAGCACCCGCATCGTGGTGGACGTTGGCCGCTCGAACCAGGACAGATCCGGCATCGATCTGATGTCCACCAACACCCAACGGGTTCCAGGCTCCGACGAGGAATAGTAGGGCATGGGAGATGTCGGCGCCTTGAGTCCCGTGAGCCGGCTTGTGTCCTATGCCCTACTCTATCTTGCCGGCGGCCGGGCCAACACTTTGGGGAGCGCAGCCGGCCGCCAGGCATGGCCACGGTAACCGGAGGAGCTCGGCTTAAAAATCACTATGTTGCATGTAATAATATGAATTTAAGGTTTCTAATTTGAGTGTCCGGATGTGGATTGCATTTTTTGAGGCGTGACCGGATATGTCCGCAGGCGTTTGAGGTGTTAGATTTGCCAAGTTCAGATGTAGATGCTCTGAAACGCCTATAGGAGGTCCCTCGCTGTGAGCTGCTCCCCGGGTGAACGATCGTTAGATGGGAGCAGGTCCATGGCGATCGAACGCCAAATATTGGCGTCCAATGAACAATGTCTCAACCAACTTAGAGAACAACATTCCTTTGATTTATTAACAGGTGAAATAATCTACAGTATATTCCAAAACAAAAATGTACAAACTCCACACAACAAGAAAATAAATCTACAAACAAAGCTACTTGAGCGATTCACCCCACCAGCAACATTTTCCACCGGCAACATGTTTCAGTATGAAGGTACACACGAAAACTGATGCAGTTCAGAGTCACCCGCGCTGGGCGCTGCACCTTACTCTTACTTCAAGGGGGTCTTCTCTCCTTCCTCCAGGCCGGCCATGGTGTCGTACAAGGGCTTGTTCATCGTCTCCGGGAGGTAGAACACCAACAGCCCGCCGATGATCCCCGACACGCCGAACACTGCGAACGGCACCCGTTCCCCGAGCACGACCACCATGGGCGCCAGTATGGCACCCATCTGCGATGCCTGCGACGTGCACCCTAGTGCCGCATTCCGCACCACCGTGGGGAACAGCTCCGCCGTGTATATGAACAACAAGTTGTACGTCGCCGCCATGCCAAAGATGCCCACCACGCCGCATACCATCCTCACCACCCTGCAATGTCACATACTCAAACGTATTAGAACAAAGAACATGGAGGACACACGTAAATTTGAACGCTGACTTGAGCTCTTCAACTTACCTCATGGCACCGACGCCGGCGATGAGGCTGCCGGCGATGCAGAAGACGCCGCTGAGAAGCATGGTGCCGATGCCGAGTGGCTTCCGGCCGAAGTGGTCGAGGAGCAACGCGGTGAGCAGGTAGGCGGGCATCTCGGCGATGGAGTTCACGGCGACGCTGACGTAGAGGTTGGTCTTGAGGTTGACCACGTTGAGGCTCAGCCCGTAGTACACCACCGAGCAGAGCAGGTTGATGAGCACAGACAGCACCAGCCTGGCCCGCGTCGTCCTCGACCGGAACACGTCCAGGATCGACCCCGACGACGACGGCGACGACTCCTCGATCTGCTTGCCGCCGTCGACATCATCTCCCTCATCATCGAGCTTAAGCGTTACGCCGTCCGGGATACGCCGGCCGTTGGTGGCCGCAATGTCGCGCAAGACGCGCATGGCATCGTCAACGCGCCGTCGCACGAGGTACCAGCGCGGCGACTCGGAGATGAACGGCATGACGGCGAGCACGAAGACGAGGGAGGGGAGGGAGGTGACGACGTAGAGGAGGCGCCAGGAGGACTGGAACATGGCCGCGACGCCGGCGAGCGCCGCGATGCCGCCGGAGAAGAAGTAGAAGCTGGACATGCCGGCGGTGCCGCGGCGGGAGGGCCCGATGGGCTCCGTGGCGAGAACGAAGGCGCAGAGGCCGATGCTGCCGGTGCTAAAGCCCGTGAGGAGGCGGAGGACGACGTAGACCCTGTAGGTGGGGGCGAGCGCGGTGAGCAGACCGAAGAGCGCGTTGAGGAAGCAGACCACCTGGAGGGAGCCCTTCCGGCCCAGGAACGAGTCTGACAGGTGCCCGAACACGCCCGCGCCTGCAAAGAGCCAACGACACTGATCGATCACATGGTGTTCTAAAAAAACAGTCGCGTGAAACAACAGAAAAATGACCATAAATATAAATGGTAAAATGAATGACATGGCTACACTTTTTTTCCTCAGAGAACCTGGCTAAAGTTTATTAAACAACGACGTTCAGTGGAACAGTTACACTGTTACAGTATCATGTGGCACGCCAAGCCAAACATGGCGGCCCACATCAATCAAGAGATAAAAAAAAACTTTGCTAAGCCTGATTTTGGGATCAAACACATTACCATTTTCTTCTATAGCAAAATCCAGCCCATTACTAGCTACTTTTGTGAACTATACCAGTCTACTCAGCCAAAGCAGGGGAAAAGAATTATTCGCAGAAAAAAAACAGAGGAGAAGAAAGTAAGGACCGGCGTAGGACTCTCTACTATAGTGTCCAAAACTCGAAATATTTCTGGTGCAATTCCCTCCCAGCAGGAGCATACCCCAGACCAGACGTATCCGGACGCCGGCGATAGATGACCTGATCTGATCCGGATCCGACTGACAGCCTAGAAGAACTGGCACGGCTCGAACAGCCACGTAGGCATGCTAAATCTACGGCACATCTGGGCGCGCGCGCGTCACCTCGCACCGCACGCCGTCATCCGGGACCAATCGCTTTGTTCCGATTTGGAGGGCTTATTATTGAGGTCTCTCTAGGACACATCACATCTAAGTTGACTTTCACTTTGCTTGTGGTCTATTTCTTTTGTTCTAGTTTTTTTGTTTCTTGTTGATGCATTATATACTTGTGGGAGGTTAGATGTGACATCCTTAAAAAACATCTAAATGTGAATTAGACAAACTGTTATTATTGAGAGCCTGAAGAAGCATACGCCGTATGCCGGTCACTGTCAACGCCCTATCAGAAGACGAATATGGAAGTATAATTCTCACTGTTCTCTAATAACCGAATCCTACCCAACCCCATGCTGCCATGCATCAACACCACAGACTAAAAGGCGTCGAGCAGAATAAGGAACCTTAACGACGCGGCAGTGGCTTTTCTAGCGCAAGAGATGCTCAATCTACGCGCATTTCTTGAGGGAAAGTATGTTAATTTCACTGTTGTTGTATTGCTGCAACTTATTAAACTGTAATAATTCAGTGGACGGGCCACTAGTCAGTGTTGGTTAGGCTTGTACAGTACTACTGTCCTAAGGATATACTACTAGACCACGGTTCTCATCCACATGCACTGGTTCAGTGAGCGGGATGCTTGGACGGATCGCCCAAGAGATCCCAAGCATCATATCTGATCCCCAAAGCACAAAAGACAAAAAGGGCTTGGAAAATTACTCCCTGGTACTACTAGTAGAAGAATGCGACACCAACATGCGAGGGTGAGACTAATCTAAACGGAGTACTTAATTAGTCTGCAATGCGCCTGAGATCACATCACCGAGACTGACTGACCCATTAGGCGATGCGAGACAAATTTGTACTTATCGTAACCAGCAAGCTGATTCGTGTTTTGCTTCATACTGGCCGGTCGGCATTCAGTACTGATGTCAGACCGGCGCCGTGCCGATGCATGCATGAGGTCGAGCTTGTACCATTAATGAAAATTAAAAAGCGCATTAGGCTCAGTAGAAAAATATGCAGCAGGAGTCAAAACAGGCTGCTGAAGTAAACTAGTACAACAGTTTTCCTACTCAAGCAGTGACGCTGGCTGCATGCGTCCAGATGAGCAGCTAGCTAGACCTCAGTTTTTTCCAAAGAATACAGCTATTCGGCAGGCATACGGCGCTTGGCACGGAGCGGCTGGCGATAAAGACGGATCTCGGGAGGGAGGAAATTCGATTTGGCGCCGTCGACACGGCGAAATTGCACTGCTCCACGGCGGGACGCATGCCATGCCACGGCGAGCTGCGCCCCCAGACTCGGGGGCGCGGTCTGGGGCTGGGCATGCCATCCGTGTGACAGACAGAGCACGAGGCTCTGTACTTGATGCGTATGCTGGAACGCAAGACACTATCAACGGGACATCAGAGAGCGCACGCGAAGCCAACCGGCGGGAGTTAGTTAGGCTGACGACGAAGCAGTCATATGGTAGGCACATGTTAGGCTGACGAAAAAAGGCAGAATTACGATACCGAAAGGCGGTAGCAGAGAGAGCGGCGGCGTATGTACGTACCGATCATGCACCCGGCGAAGAAGACGGCCTGGACGAGGCCGACCTTGTACCGCTCGCCGCAGACCAGGCCCCACTCGGCCACCGTCGACGACGCGCTCCCCTGCGCCCACTCCCACCCGGCCGCCGCGCCGGCGCACCGGTCGCCGCACTGCCCGTCCCCCGCGGGGCACCGCATGGCCGGCTCCCGGTCCGCGAAGATGATGACCATGGTGTGCAGCGCCTCCAGCGCCCACGCCGCCGACACCAGCACGAAGTGCCGCAGCTGCCACCGCCCCAACTCCCCCGCGTGCTCCGCCAGCGCCTCGTCGATGCTCAGCCGCCGGCTCGCCACTCCCCCTCCGCCGCCGCCGCCGCCTTGGGCGGCCAGCAGCGCCTCGGTGGACATGGCCGGCTGTCGCACGCACGCACGAACGTCGCGGAGCCGCGTGGTCCCTTTCCCTTGGCGCGGGGTGTGTGCGCGCGCGCGTGTACTGGGGCCGTGCCTTCGACCGCGCGCTATTTGTAGTTGTGGGCAGCGCGCCCGAGGCATGTGCGCAAGCGTCCGCGGGTAATCGCGGCTGAGGAAGCCATTTACAGTTGTTCAACAGAAATGGAAGCCATTTACGGCGCCATTTTCACCACCCTGCTGGTGACAAGTTGTGAAAGCCGCCGCATTACTTGATGATCTACACGCCAGCCCTCATGATTAATATTGCTCTGCATTCGTCAACTGACTCGAGACGATCAAATAGCAAATACTCCCTCCGTTCCAAAATAGATGACTCAACTTTGTACTAGCTTTAGTATAAAGTTGAGTCATCTATTTTGGAACGGAGGGAGTATAAGATGTGCAGCATGAGGAGCTCTTTTGCACAAGATATTTATAGATAAAGGCACCTGTGTTTGCTATTACGGTGTTTTTTGTCATCACTTTTTTTTTGGAAAACTTTCAATCTATTCATCTTCAATCATGGCAGTACAACGAACATCCGAAAAAAATTGCATCCAGATCCACATATCACCTGGCGACGGCTACAAGCACTGAAGCGAGCCGAAGGCGCGTTGCCGTCATCGCCCCTCCATCGCCGGAGTCGGGCACAACTTGTTGTAGTAGACAATCGGAAAGTCGTCGTGTTAAGGCCCCATAGGACTAGCACCCCAGAACAGTAACCACCGCCGATGAAGAATAACGTAGATCGGAAGGATCCAAACCGAAGACACACGAACGTAGACGAACAACGACGAGATCCGAGCAAATCCACCAAAGATAGATCTGCCGGAGACACACCTCCACACGCCCACCAACGATGCTAGATGCATCGCCGGAACGGGGGCTAGGCGGGGAGACATTTATTCCATCTTCAAGGAGCCGCCGCCGTCTCGTCTTTCCGAGAAGGACGCAAACACTAACACGATTGAAAAAATAACTAAAAATGAAGCCCTCCCGTCGGCCCTTGCCAGGATCCACCGAAGACGAGGCGGACCTGTGCTGGCGCCGACGAGAGGCACGAACCTTAACTTTCTTTCTTGGAGAAGAAGGAGGCGGCTGCTGGTGTCTTGGTCAACGAGTATTTCGATGGGAAAAGAAAGGATGAGCAGGTCTGCCCTCGCCTATTTTTTTTAGCTGTGAGATTTGAATCTTCAAGTACACTTTAAACTCTACTGGTCATGGTTTTGTTTCTAGA